GGAACCAAACTCTTATATTTTTGGTTGTGAGTCTAGCCTTTAATGGCTGAGCCATCTCTCCAGCCCCAGCCCTTTTCTTTTTATAAGATTTTATTTTTGAGCTGGACGGTGGTGGTGCACACCTTTAATCCCTTCACTTAGGATACTGAGGAAGGAGCATCTCTGTGAGTTTGAGGCCAGCCTGTCTACAGAGCAAGTTCCAGGTTAGACAGGGCAGTTACACAGAAAAAACGTGTCTTGAAAAACCAAAACAAGGGCTTGGTGGTGCATGCCTTTAATCCCAGCCCTTGGGAGGCAGAGGTAGGTGCATCTCTGTGAGTTCGAAACTAGCCTGGTCTACAAGAGCTAACTCTAGGACAGCCTCCAAAGCCACAGAGAAACCCTGTCTCAAACAAAAAAACAAAAAACAAAAAAAAAAACAACAAAAAAAAACCACCAACCCTCCTCCCGCCAAAAAAGATTTTGACTTTAGCCAGGCATTGGTGGCGCACACCTTTAATCCCAGCACTGGGGAGGCAGAGGCAGGCGGATCTCTGTGAAAACCCCTGTCTAAAAAATATATATATCTATTTTAATTTTTTTATTTTTATTTATGTGTACATGTGTGGCTATGTATGTCACATGTGTGGTTGCTCATGGAAGCCTGAAGAGGGTGGTGGCTTCTCCAGACCTGGAATTACAGGTGGTTGTGAGCTGCCAGGTGTCAATGCTAGGATTTGAACCCAGGACCTCTGGGAGAGCAACCAGTCCTCTTAACCACTAAGTCATCTCTCCATACTCACCCCTCCCCCTTTAAATGTTTAACTGTAGGCACGCACCACCACTCCTGCCTGGATTTTCCTTTTTAGGTTTGCTTTGCTTGGGGATTTTTGTTGTTATTGTTTTGTTTTTGGAAACAGGGTCTCAGTGCGTAGCCCTGACTGTCCTGGAATTGGCTCTGTAGATCAGTCTGGACTCAAACTCACAGAGATCCACCTGCCCCTGCCCCGAGAGTGCTGGGGTTAAAGGTGTGCGCCACCACTGCCCAGTGAATTTTTCCCTTTTAATGATGCTATCAGCCACAATGCATTGGAAACCACTTTCATGGCCTCGTTTTAACTTGATAATCTGCAAAGACCCTATCTCCAAATAAATCGACATTTTGAGGTCTTTCTTCAACCTGAATTAGTGCTGAAGCTTTTCTCCAAGTGTGCGTACCGGCGAATACGCCTGCTATTTGCTGGAGTGCATTAGAGGTAATTCCAGACATCATACCACATGCCTTGGGAGCATTTTAAAAAGAGAAGAAAGACTTAGCCTGGTTTACATTTTTAAACAAGTCTATTTGTTCTGTGGGAATGTGAGGCAAGGCAAATATTTCACCAGGATGACAAAGGCAAAGAGCAAGCCCTCCCGGGGCAGCATGGAAGGAAGGGACTTCCAGGTGC